CTTATAATTACCATGCAAATAATGGTACATTAACGCATTCCCACCACTAGATGGGATATGTTCTCTGTTTAGCTTTACATTTCTACTTTTTTGGTTTCTTCTAATTTTTACAATCACAGATACTCATTTATCATTATTACTGTAATTTCTATATTCACTGATAACTTAAAATATAAACATTTTGGAGCACAAACGAATAGGAAAATTTTGCATGAGAAGAACGGTGACAAGTGAGATCAAAGCTGCAAACAAACTGTACTTTACTGAACTATATGGAAAAACGGGGTCAGTTAGAAAGCTGAAAATAGGATGACTTTAGGCTGCCAAGAAAGCGATAACACATAACAGAACACTGAAGTCTCTAAGAAAATGACATGTGGCCTCTACGCTAAAGAATTTGTGAAAGGTTACAAAAGGCTTGTGAAATAAAGAACAGCTGGATGAGCTCCAGCAAGAGCTAAGCTGATTGATACTAGGAAAGACATTTGAGAGTACAGATATACAACCATTGAAGCCACTGTTCATATCAACAGCTGAAGCACTTGAGGTCATGGATACTCTAACCATAGGAAAAATGCACCATAACTTCAGGGAAGAATTATTCTACTCTGTGTTTGTGTGTGAGTTTTAAGAAAACATTGCTAATAAACAATATCTTTAATAACATTGAATTGTACTAAATTTGGGGATTGGTCTCATGCTTGAATTGTTCAGTAGCCCACTCTAATGATCCTGCAGTACAGGACTGATATTCTGGCCTGTGTAGGCTGGTGAATAAGTAGAATTGTATGTATGTATGTATGTAAACTTGTAGACCATCAATATAAAACTCAATAAACAATCATGGCACCAGGGGAAGCACACTCCCATATATCCACACACCATCTTACTGGGCTCCAGCCTCATCCTACCTCAGCCCTTGTGGGAAAAGCCAGCTCTTCAAGGCATTCCAGAAGGCAAAGAGGGTGTGGGCCTGCCGGATCTTTTGAGGAAGGGCGTTCCACAGGCAGGAGCAGCTACAGACAAGGCGTGCTTCCTAGATCCTGCTAGATGACAGCATTTAAGGGAAGGGACCTGGAGCATACCCATCCTATCTGACCTGGTGGGATGGGCAGATATCCTCAGGGAGAGGCAGTCCTGCAAGTAGCCCGGTCCCATGCCATTTTGGGTTTTAAAGATAACCAGAACTTTGAATGGTACCCATTAAGAAACTGGAAGCCAGTGCAGCTCATGCAGCAGCAGTGTAATATAATACCTGTATAAGAGGTATTACAATTTTGATTAGTAGATTTTTAAAGCAAAATGTGGGGTGCCCAGAACTGTGTGCACTGTTGCATTCTGGACCAGTTGTAGTTCCTGGATGGTCTTCAGAGGGAGGCCCATGTAGAGCACATTGCAATAATCCAATTGTGTGCGACCAGGGCATGAGTGACTGTGAGCAAGGCCTCCTTGTCTTCATTTTGTACATAACTACTCTGTGTGCATTACGTTGGCCCAATTTATTTATGAGACAAGAAATTCACCAGTGGCAAAGATTTTGGAACCACCAAACCACAGAGAAAAATAAAACCTTCAGAGAAATGCAATACTTAGATAAAAATGTCTCATAAACTATTATTTCACAACTTCATAAAGTTTATTTCTCAACACAATGGACATTCATTTAAGGGATAGGACAGGGATGAAAATGAGATAGATGAAGTCGGTTAGGAAATGAAATTGCTTTTTTGCGAGACTCATCATCTTCATAAAGATAAAATCTTTTATTGAAAATTTGGGGTCGGGAGATTTACATAAGTAGCAGTTCTACATGTATAAGTGTGTGCGTGCGCACGTGTGCACCTTCAAGTCAGTTTTGACTCCTGGCAACTGCCTGGACCAGTCCCTGCAGTTTTCATGGCAAGGTTTTTCAGTTTGCCATTGCCTTCTTCCTAGGGATGAGCGCAAGCGATTGGCCCAAAGTCACCCAGCTGGCTTTGTGCCTAAGGCAGGACTAGAACTTGCAGTCTCCCAGTTTCTAGCCGGTATAAGAGGTATTATGATTTTGATTAGTAGACTTTTAAAGCTGATTGTTTAAGAAGTATTAGGCAAGGTCAGCTTTTAATACTTACCGTCAGACTAAGTTATCAACATTTAGCACTCCTGAATTTATATAGTCCAAATGCAGGTTATTCAGAACAAGCACATAATTGTTTCCAATACCTGCATTACAGTATATGATCAGTGGACCATATAATAATTGGATGCATTAAACTTTGGAACTTTTTTTTTTTAATTGTAACATTTTACCATCCAAATTATATTCTTGGATTCGTAGTATTTTGGTAGAATACTTGTCCAAATTTAACTTAGTGGATAGTTGGCACTCTACTAATCCTTTGTAATGAGAATATAGTTTTCTTTTTCCACATATAGGAATTGTTCTAGCTAGATTTTTTTCCTCTACTAATTCATTCTTTGATATCTGAAGTCAAAGCCTTGATGTAGATGTTATTACAATTTCAGACCATGCTTCTGTGAATCTTACTGCTTTTTGAGTAGCTTTTGAGTGTATCTCTGCTGAATGATACAAATTTTATAAAGCAGGGAACCATGCCTTGGCTAAAACATCCATCCATCCATCCATCCATCCATCCATCCATCCATTTCTAACTATCTGAGAAACTCTGGGTGGCAAACAAATAAAAACAAAGAATTACATTAAAACAAAAACCAACTAAAACCACATTCAAGGCTCAGTAAAAACAAACTGTCAGACACACGCACCCATGCTGGAGCTCCCAACTAACGTCCCACCCCCAATGCCTGGGGGAAGAGCCAGGTCTTCATGGCCTAGCAAAAGGCCAATAGAATAGGGGCTACCCATATTTCAGAGAGAAGGCTGTTCCACAAGGCAGGTGCCATAACAGAGAAGGTATGCTTTGAGAGACCTCTAGATAACCTTGTTTATTAATGGTACCCGGAGCACACCCACTCTGCTAGAATATTGATTTGAGATTGAATTATCACTATGCTTAGAAAGACAATTAGTATTGCTCCCATCCATTGCCTGATCAATATATATCTTTGTCTTTGCTAAAAATGAACTCAACAAATACTAACCTATTTTCATCCATTGCACAAAGCAACAATATTGTGAAAAGGGAGTAAAATCTACCATTATTAGCTTCTGGGTTTAAAACAAATTATATAATATTATGCCATCTATTCAGGGTACAGAATAAAAGTGTCATTAATAACTTTGAATTTTAGTCAAAACCATACTAATTCATTAACAAAATATTAGATTTCCTTTTACACAAAATAGTTTTATCACATTTTATCAGGACCTCATTATTACTTTTAATTCACTTCAAGAAATTGTTATTACAAATAAATCTATGAACCTGGTGAATGTTTTCCAATGGATTTCTTAAAAGGTAACTTTTGTGTCATATCTTGTTCGAGTTGCATGGCAAATCTCTTTCAAATAAATCCCTGACTTTCAAATTTTAATGAGGCTATCACAGATATTCCTAAATATAGTACAAAGTTCTAATGATAGTGCATCCAACACAGGTTAGATTTATACAGGGCTGTCAAATTTCTAACATCAGACTTGTTCGGACTTTAATTCAAAATAGACAAGTCCCTTGTGCTGAGAAAGCATTTGACAACATTTTCTTGGAAATTTATGAAGTGGCTGTTAACATATTTTGAATTGCCTCAAGTTTTATATTTTGGATTGATAAAATTTGTGCAGTCTCTAAATCAACAGTGATTAACCATTTGCTCTCCTTTGTTAAATTTATAAAAAGGCATGCCTCAAGATGCCCTCTTCCTCCTTTTCTTTTACTTTGGCTTTAGAACCTCTTAGTGGCATAATCAGAAATTCTGAAAACATTAATGGAATCACAGTGGAGTCTGATGTAGTGGCTAAGGTGCTGGGCTAGAAACCATGCAAATGTTTCTAGTCCTCCCTTGGGCATGAAAGCTGGCTAGGTGACTTTGGGCCAGATACTATTCCATGGTTAAAGGTAGACTAGGACCTGGGTCTTCCTGTTCAACATCTTAATTATGACATGATACACCGGCTGGCTGTGTGTATATGCATATGTATATAATCTTGTGATATGCACTGTAATCATTTTGAACTCTCTCCTTTCCCTTTGGAGCTTTTGGGCAGAGAACTCTTCATTTGAAACAGAGTAGCATCATCTTGTTTGGCTATTATACAACATTGGAAGGAGAAGTTGGTAACCATTTGCAGCAATTCTTTGTTTATATATGTGGGGCAAGGAAGAGGATTCTGGGGCAATAAGAAATATTTTTGCAATTGTTCTCTTTACTACATACTTCACAATTATGTAAACATAATCTTAGAAATTATGATGAAGTTTGAAGTTGATTCATAAAAACATGCCTGCAATGGAATTAATTTATCACAGTAAAATATCGCTAGACTAGGACCAGTTGAGAACAAGGCAGCCAGGGTATTTCTAGCTCCATCACTTGCAGAGTGGCCAATTATTTATTTATTTTCCTTATTTTTGCCTGATTTAATGCAGCTATTCCAACTCCTCTCCCACCCATTTTGTATATTCTGCCACATTCAACGTCTACAATCTCACCACCTCAGCTGGATTTTTCTGGATGCTAACTCAGTGGCTAAAGGACCAAGCTGACTCTTGCCACTGCAAACAATCCAGTGGCAAGAGATCTCTTTGGATTTCCTACCCTGGACAGATATTTAATAAAACTCTCAGTAATTATTTTCCTGCTCTGATATAAAATCCAAGAATAGTACAGAGGGTGTGGCAAATTGTCATTCCCCCACCCAGTTTTGCAAGCTTCAAACTGTCTATATATATAGAGGGACATAACTCAATTACACCACAACTGACAGCCTGTATGTTGTAATGATTATTGTTCAGCTAGGACTAGAGAGAACCCATTTAGCTAAGTTTCATGTGCTGATCATAGCCAGTCACATGATTATCATGAGAATGAATTTGGTGATAACCTGCTCATTGGAATTAGAAAAAGGTAAACATACAGTAAATAAAATGTAATACTTTTTTTTAATTAGAGAAGGCAATGTATTTTTAACATCTTAAATAATATATACCGTTATTATGGCAGTAGCTTTTATCATGAATGCAGAATGTTTTTGTTCTATTGTGCGAGTTCTTCAATATGAACTTTAACCTTGAACTACTTTCATGCACACCTCCATGAAAACACACATGGTTTCTAAACATAAATGTTCAGCTCCCAATAGAAGCCATATAGCTTGTGAAAATTTTGCTATAGCTTTTCAATGCTTACTTGGTAACTACAACAACCTGCAAACCCATATATAGGATTTTTCACTTAGCACTGGGAGGGCAGAGAGAGAAATAAAGCAAATGTCTACCCTGTTTTAAGAATAAAGACCGGGACCAACTTTAACCAGCTTTGAAGTCTTTCAAACCCAAACTGAAAGCAAAAATGTGTTGCTAAATATATTACTTTTCTCACAGCCTGTGATAACAATTTGAGATGTTTTTGTTTCCAAATCCATACATTGTTGAAGCTAAGTGCAAAAATGAATATTTAGAGAGCCCTGTATTACTTTTGTACCCTAACACTATCCTGTATCCAAAAGATATATACACGCATTGAAGTGTCATTATTCAATACGGTTGTTTTCAGGTAAGTAGCTATAAGATTACAATCTCAGAGTTAGTCTGATTCAGCTAAGGAAATCTGTGTGTATAAGCAAGTCTGGAGTCAAGAAATATGGATATAAATTTGCAGTGCCTAAGAATATCTGACTGCATTTTCCCCCCTAAGATACAGAATATATACTAAAAAATGTAACTCTCACCCACACTGAACCTCAAGGAGTCAGACATAATATATTTTGAAAATGCAACTAGAGCAGTCAGGATGTATATTTGACTAATTATTTCAACTCTGGCCAACAGCCAATTTGTGATTTTTTGTGGGGGCATGGGGAAGAAAACATTTTCATACACTAATGATTAATTTTAACTTGAATTTCAACTATTTGGTTCGACACTGAGTAGACTAACATTTTAACCAACAGTGAAATTATACAGTTAATGCTTGAGAAGCTTTTCTTGACTCCTGGGGTGTGGGCAGAGGGGGAACACAAGGAAGTTACAGCAGTTTGTTTTAAAAATTGCTTCAAAACCCTATGTTAACAAGTACAAGTGTATTTTAACAGCAGTACAGATGTACATAGTTAATTATCTTGCCAGAGAATACACACTGCTGAATGCAAACCTAAAACTAAAAAAGTAGATCCTGGCTTACTTTTTCTTCAATGTTAGTTATGTATGTTGTAAGTAAAGTGATTAAACGTAACAACAAATAGATTCTACAGCTAAAAATGAAATAATGTGAGAAATATAAAAATCCTAAAGGCAGCTTATTTAAAAGGTTTTTCAGTTACACCTATGAATATAATCCATGCTTTTTGAAGTTGTTCTCTCACTTTGTCAACACAAGCAATTTCCTAGAAATCTACTGAGCACTCTCCTCCCATAGAGAGGTTTGTCTATCACATTTTAAGCGTGCAAGACTGTGCCTGCATAAATTTTAGTCCTTTCAGAAAACCAAACATGAAAAAGTTACACAGTGCCAGTATCATCATTACATTATAATTGAATTCATAATTTTGTTCACATAAGCCCAGCTGATAACAGTAGCCTTGAACACAACCCATAATAATTAGAATACACATTTGAGCCAATATATTCAGACTTTCCTGTGATACAGCTGACAAAGCACATAATCTGTGAAGGCACTAAAATTATTATCTTCAAAGCCAAGAACTCTTGTAAAATGTTCTTAGTCATCTCTTTGCCCTGAAAGTTTAAATGAAATTTAGCATTGTAGATTATTAATTTAGAGTTATTATTAACTCAGGATTAATTGACAGTTGCTTTTTTAGTTAGTAGTATGCACATACAATAGTAGTAAATACTAATTCTCATGCTCATTTTTGACAAAAGCCCTTATTAAAAACAAATACCCATGACAGAGTCAACACATGATTTTATCTGAATATATGCTCAGGAGATATCAATTTTCTCTGGCACATGTACCTAATAATACAGGCAATTTGCTATGCTATAGTTTTCCTTGGAGATGGTAAATGCCACCTTGTCCATACAATTCATTAAGAAATATTTGCCACATGAAACTGAGCAATAAGTGATCTATTGGGTGCATTTTTATCATCTCAACATTAATGTAGGAAATGGACCCAAAAATACTTATAATGCAGATCATGATAAAGTGCCTTTTTGTAATCAGTCAACTATTGCAGTTGTGGGGACTAGGAAACCTTTTAAATTTCATTGTTCCAAAGCAGGCTTAGCATTTAAATGATTGTATTGTTATTTAATGTTAAGTTCACTAGTATAAAGTAGCTATTAGAAAAACATGTTGCAATAATCAATTGCAAAATTCTGGGAACTTTACTTTCTGAGTTTCTTATTCCCAGTCACAACAAAGTAATTACCCTCCTGTTCTGACTTTACTGTGGGATCCTTTAACCTAATTGGGGTCCCTTTAGTTAGAACAGTTGTAGCTTTTCCTTTTAAAACAGGATCCTTAGTGGTTGAATCAAGATCTTTATCGTTCTTCTGGGAGACTTTGACCTGTGCCTGACTTTTGATGTTAGCCTTCCCTGTCTTTTTCCTTGTCCCATTTATGGTCGATGTTTGAGGAAGACGCACAACAGACAATGGCATACGATCAGAGTGTGTTGATGCATCAGCTGTTACCTGTGTTTTCATCCTGCTATTTTGGGCCGCTCTCTTCTTAGCCGAAGAATTATTAATAGATGAAAATGAATTTTTACTCTTTACATCTGATGTAGATGCCTGCTCAGTTGATTTACCATTTGTAAGAGAGGAATTAGAACTCAGCTGTTTGGGGCTAGGAGCAGTTATCTGTTTGGCTTGCTTAGTTTCCAATTTCCCTCTGTGTGAGGAAAACTGTGTGGGCAATGTTTGACTGCTAATTTGGGAAATTAATTTTGCTGGCATTGTAGAAGATGTTTGAGAGCAAGATGGCTTAGGCACATGTAAGTTTCTGTTAATTGTCTTTGCAGATTTTGCTGAGGTTTTTGAAAGAGGCTTACATTTGGCTATATTTTTGAGCCCAGCTGCAGTATTAGAATGATGTTCTTCTAGAGAACCGACCCTTTTAGCTGTTTCAGGCAACACGGAAAGTTTACTGGTTGAACAACCTAGAGCAGGATGTTGTACAATTGGAGAATTCTGGGAACATGCAGGTTTGATAGATGATACAGTACATTTCTGAAGTGATTCAGAAGGTGTTAAAGCAGTTCTCCCCTGAGCCAATGATGAGCCCTTATTTACAGTTTGTCTATATTTTGAAACAGATGTAGGGTTATGAGAAGGCAGTGCTGACTTTTTTGAAACTGCTTTTGATGATTTGGAAAATGGCTGAACGTTACTTACTGAAGAGTCTTTCAATTTGGGGTGGCTCTGTGTGAACTGGTTTGTAGGCGAGGTATGCATTACTGCTCCTGAAGAAGAAAGAACAGTTTGTTGTGGCAACTTAGCTGCTGCCTGTTTCCTATTACCTACAGGAGGGTTTTTTGAAACTGAAACAGCAGCAGAGAGCTTTGAACTCTGGGTATGGTATGTATCAATGGCAGATATGGGATTCATGACCGGAGGCTGTGGAGCTCTAGCAGATGAATCAGAAACTGTATCACCAGATGCACCTTTTTGAAAAGACAAAATCTTTTGTTCCAATGTTGCAAACTGAAGCACTCGGCAAGGATCATACTTGAGAAGAAAACCTTGAAGAGTATCCCAGCCTCCACCAACGCGTACCATTACATGTTTGCCATGTAACATCTAACAGAAGAGGGGATAAAAAAACAGATGGTATATTGGTTATAACTAATTGCACTTAGGCAATATACATATTGCATGAAATATTAGAATGCTTTTAACATTCAGTTTTCCCAGAGGACAACTGATAGTTACCATTTGCCACCAATACCTAGAAAGCAATAGAGGTATTGTTCTTCAATAATGCACACCCTGAAAAAAATATAAGCACAGACCAAGAGATGCACAGGAGTACAAGCTGCCCAGTATTGTAGCAGCAAAGAGAAAGAATGATTGCACAAGTATTCCCAGGCATCAGAGACAATGGGACATTTTCAACCTGGGCAGATGATATCACTAGGGTAAGGTACTGTCAATTAAATTATATTGTCATCTCTTGAAAAGGGATAATTATCCACCCAATTAAGACTGATACTTCTTAAATGACTGAGCAGAACCACTGAAAACTTACTCGTATAAACAGTATTTTGTCTCCGAGTCTATAGCGCCCTTCAGACAAATACTCGATTGAAAATCTATGAGAGCAGCTACAAGGAGGATCTTCAGCAATATGCTTAACCTATATTGTACAAAGATTTTGTTATCTTTTTATAATATATATTAACAACAACACTAAATGTGAATTACCCATTTGGCTGCAAAAATGACATCCGAGGAAGACCAAGAAATACTCATCTCAGTTCAAAGATTCTTTCTTCAAAACTTCCAAGTAGAAAGTAAATTTATAAATTGTGGAAGAGACAGTGCATTTCAGTTATTTGCAATATTATTATATTTGTAGGAAATCAAGATTTAGAGTAAAATTCTAAGCATGTTTATTCATAAGTAAACTTCTCCAATGAGTCTTATTTTCTATTAATTAATTTTTTAGGCTGAAGCCTGAAGAAGCTTAGTATCGTGCAAGGTTGTAACTTTTTAGAAATGATCTTGAGAAAGCTTGCATTGACAGACTAGGATTATCTATACCAAACAGCACTTTGAAAAGCCCAGCTACCATTATCTGGGCTAAATGAATATCAATAGTCTTCAGTCAACAGATCCATACTTCAATTTAAATATGACATATTTGTTATCTGCACTCTGGACAAGACCTACCCTGATTACATGAATAGTAGGATATTAAACTCCTTTGGTGCCAACTGAGTTACTTAGATGCCACTGATTAGGGCTCAGCTCTTGGGTGACCATGGATAAATGCTTGTTTCATAGTTTTTCCAAGGACAGTCCTATAATGTCTTTGATCCTGTCTATTTTATAATCTCATTCATCCTGTCCTGCCATGCTGTCAGTTGTCAAACAGAACATCTAAATTTCCAGAAGCTAAATATAACTTTCCAAGAAGTAATATCAATAGTTGCTTAGAACTGCATACAAAATGCTTACAACACTGCCTGAGATGATTAATCAACACTAATACATGTTGAGGTGTAGTGCTTAGACTCCCTGAGTCAAGAGGGCTTTGAAGGTTCTCTCCTGCAATAATTCATGGTCTGACAAAATGGCTTGAGGTTGCATGCTAGTTCACAGTTTATAAAGCCATAAACAAGCAATAGATGGTTCAAATATAGCAAAACAAAACAAAACAAATTTGCTTGACTGTAATCTTAACCAACATTACAGAGATGGATAGATTTTTGAATGGAATGTGATTTGTAGATACCTGGGCTGGATTCACATATCATTCTAAACATGGTTTGCTTAACTATGATTTGTAAGATAAATAAAAATTGGCTGGTTTTGTACAATATGCTAAACTTTAACCACAGTTAATCCACAATGATTGGGCTTGCACAACATGTTATTCCAAACCAAGCAAGCTACAGCATGACCCTCAAAATTCCTAGAAAGTTTACATAATTCACCATAGCACTGTAGTCTTCCAGTTACATCACAAATATTCAGATTATAGCTTCATAGGTAGAAATATACATGCTACTTACTGCTTCATGTAATTCTCCATGCTGACAGCACAATTTATAGGAAATTATAGGAGCTACACTATCAGAGGACATCAACAAAGTTTCTTCCAATTCAATTTCTTTCTCTAGCTTTACTAATACTGGTGGTTCAACTCCATATCTATAAAAAGAAAAATGCTAAGTGTGTAAGATACTGCATTTAGAATTTTAGTAACATTTTAAAACAATAATCATAGAGTGAGAGTAGCTATTACACTTACTATGACATATGTAAAGCATGAGTGCTTGTAATCATTGCTATCAAGAAAAAGGAGAATTAACTAGGCTAGCTATAGAACTGGCACCGTTCCTGAGCTACTTTTGGGAGTGAGGGTGGAACACAGGAATAAGGCATCCTATTTTCTGGCTCCTTCTGTAAAACTTGGTGCCCTAACTATGGAGCAGTGACAGTGGTGGTTCTTTCATTATCTCATCCATTGGCAAAGGAAGACTTCCTTTTCCCCTTGTAGATGGGAAAATGCAAAATATCCTATGACACCTGGACTGCCTTCCCAGGGAACAGGATTAGAGGTGAATGGCTATGTTTTCATAACACTCAACTTAAATGTGATCTATTTTCATTATCTCATCCATTAGCAAAGGAAGACTTCCTTTTCCCCTTGTAGATGGGAAAATGCAAAATATCCTATGACACCTGGACTGCCTTCCCAGGGAACAGGATTAGAGGTGAATGGCTATGTTTTCATAACACTCAACTTAAATGTGATCTATCAATTAACCCAATTTTCAGGACTTGTATAGTACACAAAACCATAAACTAATCAAGCACTAGCTAAAATGCACTAGGTTAGTTTGTAGTACAGTCTTAAGAAAACAGCCAATCTCTGGGGCTAAAACCCTGAGAATCTTTAGGAAGATTCACAATGCATTCAAAGCTTCTAGTTGGAGAAGAGCGATGAATACACACCTTGATACAATGCGACCAATTTCCAGTAAGCAAAGGTATACTTGTCTTGGGTCTTTATGCAGAACTGTAAAAGAATTAGTGCAGGTAAGAAAAAAATTAGTTCAGTGAAACTCAGAGATCTGCCTGCATTCAATGACATGGAGCAAAGTCTGCAAGAGCTGTAACTCATACAGCTGGACTCAGGTCCAGAAATATTGGGACATCGACACAATTCTAACATCTTTGGCTCTATACACCA